AGTCATAACCCTTTAGAACAAGAAATATACATCAGGGGAAAAATAGCAGATGATTTCATCAGCAAGAGGATAAAATTTTTATTATATTAAAAAAATAGAAAACAGTTTATTTGAATTCCATTTTTAACAAACTTTTGGCTCTTTGCCCTTACAAAGAGCTCAAATAAGCTTAGTATCTCTAGCTTCTTTCTAAGAGTCTTTGATGTACAGTTTTTTCTTACATGGTGCAAAATAAAAGTACTTAAAAATAGCAAAAATTAATTAAAAGCTGTTGGACCTAGATCCAGCAGATACCCCAACATAAGCTCCTACTGATATCTATGGGAAATGAGGATCTTTCAGTAATCTATTAAATCTAAACTTAATGTCCGCCAAAAAAAAGATTGTGCTCTGCATTATCACAGAGCATGGCATGGAGACTCTTTACTGTAATACAGTCTGAACTGAAAAACACCACATTAAGTATTAGAAGATGAAGCCACGTTAACTAACACAAAAATTCTGCTTCAGTTTTCAAAATACAAACAGAGCAGGGGGAGACTTATATAACTTTCTTCTTTGAATGTCAATTTGGAAGCAAAGGAGCCCTGCCTCTTGGAAGAGTGCTTTTGTAACCCATTTTTCCTGTGTGCAATTTTGCTGAAATATTGTTCTGAGTTTCTGGCTTTCTCCAAATCCCCAAAGTTAAGATAAGGTTCAGGTTCCTGTAACTACACAATCTGAATTGAATAGTAGGAGTCACTGAAACTTGTAAGTGTCCTCTTTCCTTGTTTCCCTTCAGTCTTTCATTGAACACGTATTTCCTCAATCCTACGTGGGAGACAAGTATGGGATAAAAAGCAAGCCAAACGCTTCCTTTACAGGAAAGCATGTCAAAATACCTTTCAAGCTACATAGGTACTTCTGTGAGGCTGGAAAGCATCTCATTTTTACAGGATGGTACAATGCAGTATTGTGGAACGTCATTTAATGGCCCACTGACAGAATCAGAAAAAAATAAAAACAAAATTCCTTACTACAAATCCTTTGCCCTGTCTGTTGTACAACAGTCTGCAGGTCTGGTGATTAATATGTAGTTTCTAGATTAACCTGGAAAATTTAGATGAGTATGCAACGCTACTTTCTTCAATAACAATCTATAGGGCAGATCAGTCATCAGATGCGTAGGACTCAGCAATTCCGCAAGTCAAAATAACCGCTAACAGAAAACAATTTTCCTTGTAAAGCACTTGAGCTCACACAAATCAAGTGACATGAAGAGGGGGTTTCATCTACTTAGCCAAGACCAGCTTGATAACCATGACAGGTTAATATTGGTTTTCAATGCATCCTTCCCTGATAAAATCAGACTACTGGAAACCACATAGAAAATAGTTTGCCTTATACTGGATTACAAACAACCAGGCTAGTTCCTAAGGTCATGTGTCTTTCTACCAGATTCCTCTACAACCACCAGAAAGTCACCTTTTACGAAAAAAAAAAATTTAATGTCTTTCTTCACTTTCAGAAAAAGGATATTAGGCATGAGTGGGAAGAACAACTTCAATTCTATGCCATGAGATTTGCCTATGTCAGCTATAACGACATTCAGACAGCAGAAAAAAAACAACTGTGCCTCAGTCAGTATCTGGCTAGGATCCTCTGGACGTTAACCATTCAGGAATCATATCTCCCACACGCACATTACTCTGTTTCTTCAGTATGGGTTTGGGACTTGTTTATGATAAACAGATAGTTAAAGCCACAGCTGCAATAGTTCAGTCAGATTATTCTAGTTCAGAAACAGTTTGCATGGGCTGAATTTTGTTAAAAATAAAAATATCCCTATTCATACCCATGAGAAGGCGAGCCTGTTCTCTGCTCAGCCTCATTTTTTGTGTTAAAGATGTATAGTTTAATTTAAAAAAATTTTTTTGGATCAAAAAGTGTTCACTTGCATTAAGAAAACTAAAAAAGTAGCAACTTCCATGTGGACATATCTACTGGAAGGTTATAATTCTGTGAGGGGGCACTGATGGTGCACTGTGAGTGAAATCAGTGACCAGAACACCCAAAATGGTAAAGGTGATTTTCAACAGTAATTTTCAACATTTCTTGCTGACCAAATCTGTTTCTTCCAATGTGAACAGAACTTATACTAAAGATGTTGGTGGAAGTGTATTTAGACAAATACTGAATACTTTGTGAAACACTAACCAAAAATGAACAGCTTACTGAGTAGGTCAGCGGTATGGAGAATACCACCTGGAACAGGCGAAGGTCCTACATCAAAAATAGAAGTGTACTGAAGTATTGTGCTAATCACATTAGTTCCAATCTTGACCTTATAATAATTAAAAATTGATGCTTAGAGCGTAATACAGCTGTGCAATCATATTTAAACCTACTAATTTCATAGAAAGCGGAAAGTTGTATCAAAAGGTCACAGTTTAATTTCATGATCTTATATTTACTCTTTATTCCCACAGTGAAAATGTCTAATTTCCAAAAGAGCAAACCAATAATTACTTATTATGAAACTATTTTAGTCAATACCTAATTTCTCAGTATTGATTACTATTTAGACATTTAAAATGTACCCTACAGCACCAACAATGTGTTTATTGTACTATTCTTCTTACTCAGGCTTGTAACTATTAAAGATATTGATTAAAGGCAGGGGTCTAAAATGCCAAACATTGCATTCATTATAACACAAATAAATTTTATTTAGCCATTTCAAAAATGGGATTTAATTAACAAGCAATATAAATATTGAACAGTTAAAGATGTGCTTGTGAAACAATGCAGATTTCTCTCACAAAACGCATTAAGCAAGCTCTTGATTGGATTACACATTATGAATTCTGACTTCTGTTTCCGTGGTATATTACAAGAGAGAAAATAGGCCCTTTGCATAGCCTCAGCCTGATCTAGAACTCACTAGTGACTTGATCAAACAAAGCAACATATTCCTGAGCTCATGTTACTCTTTCAGTAGACAATTAACTGATGCCATTATGTGTACTCTGTATTACTTCTTTGGGTTTTTTTTCTTGGGTGGCAAGGTATTTGGCTCCTTAATGCCCATCTTTCATGATATTAAAAAACACCATCTAATTCAGAGGCTCTTTGACTATCTTCTTTTAAATTACTGATACTAGTTGTGAGGAGAAGAGATGAGTCTGAATATCTGCTGTACACAATAAACTCGTAATTCATTATGTTGTGTGATAGGTAATCAGATATCCCAGATCACAAACTCAGCCCAGGGAACAAAGCTAAAAATGTCTGGATGTTTCAGGAAAGTAAGAAACTTTAGGGTTGAATTTTTCTCTGAAATTGTCCCAAACCTCTTCAGAATAAAAACTGGCCTGGAAACTCTGCATGAACACTTTGCAAACAACATCTGCTGAACAAATTCAGATACATATTTACAATTGTTATTTCTGCATACTGAGCTCAAAGATATACTAAAAAAGGAGACCATTTTTTTTAGATGATAGATGCAAAAGTGAATATTAAGAGTTCTTACAAAAACGTCATCACCATATCTTCTAGGTAAAATCAAGGTATTATCCTTTGAACTATGCAAATCACCTATGCATTTCTGGATGCTTTGGGGGATTTCAGTCTATTTCTTACCATTTAAATAGGCAAAACACAGAAAGACTGTTGCTCATTTTTTCTATCGCAGTTGGAAGAATGCAGAAGACATTTGTCTAATAGTCATGCATACATCTCACAGAAATCAAATGTAAAAAGTCTATCTCCAAAATTTTATCTTGATTCCCTTGTTGATACTATCTGAAGCTATGAAAAGAATCTCCTCAGAGGAGATTCGTCAGATGAGAAATTTCGAGAGCAAGTGGGTAAGCTCCCTGTCCATGAAATAATACTGAAAGTTTATATTAGGCACATTAGCACAAGGTATAAGTGTTCAGAAATCTATGAAACTGATATATAATTAATATAATTGTTTGAGGTTCTTATCAACTTCAATGAATATGTGAAAATGCTCTGCTGTTCTAAAAATATTTTCAGCCATTATGAACAATTATCAAGCTTACTTCTGCTTCTCAACCCTTGCAAATTTTATGTGTACCTACAGATAAAATTAACAGCCTTTGGCAATAACTCTGTTTTGTGCACTCTATGCAGACATGAACTACATCCCCAAAGAAAAACTAGTAAGATGTACTTTTTAGCAGGAGACTTGTAAAAACGTCAGTCTCCATTACCCAATGAATTGAGCAGAGAAAATAGAGACCTTGTGGCAAATGTGTCTAATAGAAAACTATACACATCTTACTCAGTTTTCTGCTCTTGTTCTGAGATTCTTCTAGAAATGCCTAGTACATAGATTTAAAACTTTTTTTACATTAAAAATAAAGGTAAGCGTAAATTCCTGAGTTTTGAAATGCTCACATTTAAAAGCTATGTGTCCTTTCACATTTAAAAGCTATGTGTCCTTATATGTAGGTTCTCTTTACGTGCGAGTAGCAGGACAGGTTTCAAATCAGCTCTTCCAAAGCCAGTTTTTAAGCTACAAACAAACACTGCTTTCTGTAAATACGTGTATACACAAAACTGAACGTGATTTATGACCACAGGTGATGCTTTACAGTATTTGGCTTTTGGGTAGCATAATATCAAGTTCCACCTTTTCCTTTATTTTAGTGTTATTTGTGCTCTATAAAACATGTTAGACTGACTGCATTAGAGATTGCATGACTTTATCCAGAGAAAAGGTACAAAGGCAAGTGAAAGCACAGGCTGCAACTACAGAGAAACAAATGCGGCCATCTAAGATTCATCTAAGGTTAGATTAGAACTCTTTCTTCAGTTAATCAATTCTGAAAAGATTTCAGTAAAATCTATCAATTATGTTTGTGATAAATTCTTAAATTTTAACACTGATATACAACAGGAATGCTGACCTATAAGCAATTCATGAAGCCACTAAATAGCAACGACTTACAGACATTACGAGGCTGATCTTGAAAAAGCAACCTGAAATACTCACTATCATGTTAGACGTCTATGAACTCACAAAGTATCTTTCCATATTTGTTTTGAATTATTCAACCCTGCAAGGCTTGCCTGAAAAACAAACAAAAACATATTACAGAATGCTGGAATAAGTTGATAAAATTTCCTCCTAGAGTATACAGACTAAAATATATGTTAAATTTCAGGCCTGAAGCATTTGAGAGCGTTCTTTTAACGAATCAAAATTGATCCCTCAGGACTTCATACAGTGAAAATTACAAGACTCTGCAATTCTGATACAGACTCCCAGGATTTCTGCTTGGCTGCTAGGAATCAAAACCTTCACTATTTAGTAACACTGAGATCAAAATCATCATATAGGTTAGCAAAGGTAAAGGAACACTTGAACTGCTATCTACACTAGGGCAAGAGACTATTGCAAAGCAACAGAACTGCAAACCAACATACAACCTTTTTAAAAAAATTAAAGCTTCCACATTTAAGTTAGAAATTATACGTAACCAGAAAATACCTGTTTTTCCCCTAAAAAAGAGAAATCTATTACCCTGGTAATCCACAAACACACGAATAAACCCAAACACAAGGTTGGCAGAGAACGTACTGTGCTTTGTGAAAGGAGAGAAGGGAATGGTTCATTGCAAAGCTGAAGTCACTGGCAGTCTTTCCATTTACTTTAGATGAGTTCTTTTAAAAGATAGCTCTTCTAATCCTTACTGATTTAACACTCTACTAATCTGCACTTTGTTATTAGAACAGCCTTCAGCAGACAGAGGAACAGACCCAAAAGCACAAGGGAAACAGCTTTTAGATGAGGGACAAGTCAAATAGTTAAATAAGTTAAAAAAAAAAAAAAAAGGGGGGGGGGGGGGGCTGCAGCCCTTTGCAGACTGTACTATTTATACAAAAGGTTAAAAAAAAATGGGGCCTGCTTGTCTACCACCAGGCAGGAGGAAACCCTATAGTTCAGCTACTTTATTCATTAATCTTCACATACAATCTCTTTAGTAAAGGAAATCAAGAATTTTCACTAGGCACCACTGGAAGCTGAAGAATGTAATAAAAATATTGACATTAACTGAAAAGGTTAATTAAACATTTTTATAACAGTAACAAGAGTTCACACAAACTGCCTCTCTCGTTTACACCAGCTATATAGAAATATATTTCATACTATAAAATACTCCATACAATCATACCTAGTCAAGAAAAATTCATCATTAATGTAACAGACATTTTTATTACATATGAATGAGTATGACTCCTGAGCTTTGCTAGAAGCACAAACTATACTGTGAGTTCATGAAAGGACTCCAAGTTCACAGAGAAAACTGGTTAAGCAGTGATTGCAAGCAATTAGTAGGTCTTTGTCTGGTTGCAGTGCACTCAAAAGCCAATCATTCTTGACAATATATTCCTCGTTAATTACTAATGAGGGCATAAACACACACCTCTAGGATGTTCACAAACACCATTTTACATTTTTTGCTCTCAGTTGTTTCTGCTGCATGACTGGTGAGCTAAACCAGATGATGCTTCTCTTTGGCTTATAAAAATCAAGATAAAGGAAAGAAAAAGAAAATGAAGAATAAAATCCACATGTTATAGATGGATAGCCTAGTTCATCTGTAAACACTACCATACTTATAAACGACAGGAATTGACCAAAGCCTGTCAAAACCAAAACAGCTTTGTGAAATAAAAATAATGGGCATGATATAGATGCAGTTGAAATAGACAGGCAACCCTTAATACACACAAATGTTGACACATCTATCTTACCAGCACTCTTCTACATCTTGCAGCATTCTTCTGTCATAATGTGTATGTTTCTTTTCCCAAATACAACAAAATTTGGCTGAAAAGGAAAACTTACCTCATGCATTAGGGATAGGAAAGCAATATTGTTCTTCTCCATAATCGTCCAAGTTATTATTAGTTTTATTCATTGAATTATGGCATAAAACAACTGATAGAACTATTTACATTTCTAAAAACATATGTAAACTAAAGTTCTTCTGAGATTTTTAAGAATTTCTGCCTTTTCATCTCCTCAAGAATAAGATTTTAGCATGACTTTTACAGAGGTGATGTCCAAGTGAAAGAAAATAGGCGAAATTTATTGAGCAAGCACAGAAAAAGATACCTGAATAACACTACTGAGAAAAGGTTCCACTGGAAGTCAGGAATTCTAAACAAGTCACAGCTGTCCCTGGAACTCACTTCCTAGTCTGAAGCAAATCACTTAATAAGCAGTAGAGCTAAGAAAATCTGGTTTCTGGTATATTTGTTTCTTGAGATTGAGCTTCTCTGATGTCTAGCAAGTGTTAGGTCTACCTAGAAGTGGGGAGGACAATGAAACCTGTTTTCCTCTATAAAGCTGCCTACTTTCACAGAATCTGTAGACACTTAAATCTCTGAAGCCTCCAACTCTCTTTTATATCTATTTGAAAATGGCCAACAAATTCAAAGGTTACTATGGGAGAAAAAGAGAGCCTACTGCATAGGCTTTGTTCCTTACGGAAAACAGGCTAAAAACAGTATTAGTAGTGTTTCCTGTTTCTCTGTCTGATTTATTTTACTAACACTTCAAGATGATAACTCCTTGTAAATTTGTATTCTAGCTTTCATAAAAGAATCCCAATATCAGTTGTACTCTCTTAACAATTTAACTATAAGGCAAGGAGTGGGAGGGAATCCATACAAGTACTTTAATTACATAAGCTGAAATCTGGAAATAGAGCCAATCTCCCACGTTTGAGGATTCAGCTGTGATACTGTAAATGGATTCAGATATATGCAACCAATAAAATGACAGAAAACTACTTAAGTATATGAGAAAGCTAATTAACAAATTTTATTTGACAGTGTCTTATCTCAGAAGGAAGAATTAATAGCAGTGGTTGTGGCCTATCAAGAATAAACAACTGAGGGGTCTCCTCAAACATAGTGAGCAGCTTGAATTGTGAAAGCAGCTGCATTCCATCCAAAACTACCAGAGACCCCAAAGTTTTACAGATATTACAATGAAATGTTATTTACTATCATGTTTATGGCACGACTCTCAAATGCAGTTCTCTGGTATTTTAGATCAGCATTATTATATGGTGATGTTTACTGCTCCAGAGGCAGTTAGCCTCAGCTTTAACACTTCTTTGTAATCATCCAACAAAAAATACCTTTGAGGGAACCCAATGGCTTCTTGCTCCAGAAGAGCAGGAGGAAAAGGAAGGAGCTTCCAGAAAAATCTTAAGTTTGCTGTAATGGCTGATGGCAACTCGGATGTTTTTTGCAGTTAGCGATCTGCCAGGCAATTTGTCAAAGCATTCTCTCACCTAAAAAAATAAGAAAGAAAAACACAGTAAATGCTTCTACTCTTATTTCAGCAAGCCAAATGCCTGTATATTTGGTTTAAAAACATACGTAACTCTAGGGCACAAAAACGTCATTATGTAAGTATTGAATCTCCATAAGCAACAACCATAAAGAAAGCATTGTTGTGAGGAATGTATCTTTAAAAATGCACTAACAACATACCTGAACTTCACAAAGTACCTTATAATCAGACCCAATCATTCTAAAGTTCTTTCTGTGCATTAACACATTGGAAAGTCATATCATGACTAGACTCACTTTAATTATCCAGTGATACCTTTATAGTTTGAGGTGCTAATCTCATTCTCCCCCTCAGATATTATTTATCTGTCACTTTCATTGCATTATATGCAGAACACAGGGAAGGTCTCTCAAATATTCAAATAATAGTTTTACATAAAATGCACTGCATGTTGGGAGAGGCGTTTGCATTATTTTCTCAGAATGCCACAGTTCTTTCAATTATAGTTCTTACGAATTTGCGGGTTTCATTACATAGTGATTCTGACAGAGTTTGGGGATTAAGAACTGTAGTCATCAGCTGTTTCTTCAGAGGAGAACAACCGTGACCTAAAAAAGCCAAGTTGTAAATAATAATCTCATTTTTAATATATATTCAATATTTTATTTACAAGCAATGCTCCTACTTATCTATTAACCAGTCTCCTTGAATCTGACCATTTTCAAAAGACTGACCTAATCCTGATTGTCTACGTTTGAATAAATCATGACATGATCCTGGGAACTTGGCAAGTACATCAATGATTTTACATCTGGCATCACACGCCAGCTGCATGTTGAGGGAATGAAAAAATTTTCGATTTCTTTACCTTGCCTCATTAGTCATTATGTGGCGATGCATGCGTTACCAAGTGCATGCAGCCTGCAGCTCCCATGACAGTTAGAAATCCAACAATCTCATAAAATTCATGAATTACCTGCTGCAATGCTAATTATCTTGTGCAAAAGCTAATAAGAGTAATACTCTGCTGAAAAGTGTATTTATAAATCGATATATGCACTGACAGTGACAATATTAACTTACTGTATGTCAGAGGAACCTGTTGCAGAAACAATTAACGTAGGGGTAACCTTCAAGCATCACAAGTATTCCGTCAACCTGCAAATTATTGCACAGAAGGAAATAACAATCTTTTTGACAAGTCTGTGTCCACAGATGTTTTTCAGTGAGCTGCTAAAACACCTGGTATGCTCAAAATTATCTGATAAATTCTATTAGATAGAGTTGACAGAGTTTTCCTTAAACTCATAGAAGAAGCCTTTTTATTTTAATTAATGACTTAGGGGTCTCCAATCACTGAAAAAGTAAAGGTCAAATTTCAAACTGCAAGTCAAAAGGGTTGTAACTGATTGTTATTTGCAAACGGCATAGTCAGCTGAAAAATTTCCAAAACGTAGAATTAATTTTCACATCTGCCAGGTAAGTCAGAGGATTTGTAGGCACAAGTGTTGATGACTTCTACCGCCGGGGCCTTAGCATTGCTTTATAAGACTACTGTTTCATTTTATTTTGAAAACTGCCTGCATAAAAGAGTGTATTCCACTCTACGTGTTAGTGTGACTGATATTCATAAAATAGCAGTGTTTGTCCACACACTTCAAAATCTTCACATTTCTCATTGCACTTCATGTAACACTTAACCTTGTCTCTTGAAAACTGATTATAGACAAAATGCCCACTGAACTCAATCAATATCTTTGCATGCCTTTCCACAGTTATATCCTTTATGGACACTATATCAGAACTGGTGTGAAATACATTTTACCCATTATTGTAATAATTAGAGTAAATAATTTAATCAGTTCATGCAACAGCTCTTTATAATCAGGAAAAATGGTTACAAGTTCAACAAAATTTCCTCAGATATGCTCATTATTTGTATTTACTCTTTTTAATTACTTGTTCTGTGAATTAATCACATATTAATATTGATCAAGCTTTGCTCTTGAGCTCTTAACTGGTCATGGACTAATTTCTGCTTTCCAGTAAATAAGCAAGCACTTTCCAGATAAATATGTGTGAGGGCATTTCAAAATGTAGTTTCTATAACTATTCATTAGTATAACTGATTCATGCTTTCCTCAATCTTTTCCTAGTAAGCCTCAAAGCATGTACTAATATAAAATACAAAAGAGGAACAGAAATTATTTTAAAATGCACATAAATTTGTGGTACAAATGCGCATAAAGTTTTGGGTTTAAGGGGTGGTTTTTGTGGGTTTCTTTTGTTTTGTTTAGGGGTTTGTTTGTGGGTTTTCAGCATTATTCACCTAAGTCTAGTTATAAAGCAGGCAAGCAGACAAAAGGCCAGATCCTAAATGACTCAGAGCACAGTGCAGCTTAATGAACCTCCATGGCACTATGCTAATTTACATCCACTAAAGAGTCACACACCAATATATTTCAGCCCATAACTCATGAATAAGATGTATGAAAGTGTTGTCAACCGGTGATGTGTGGGGAGGGGATGAAGGGAGGGACTGCTCTCTAGGGCTCTTAGGAGCACCTTGTTAAAATTCTGTAATCAAATTAAAGTTTGAGAAGATTTCTTTTCTCTGTTGTTATTCAGCCCCTATAGTTACTGCTGATTCACTTCTGCCAGAGATTACTTATTACTGGGGTTCATAAAATACTCCAGAAGACTCATATTTTAAACTTTAATAAAATAAACCTATTGAACAGATTGTCAAATTTTTCCTCCTTTTGCTTTTTTCCTGCCCTTCCTTTTTGGGCTGAACAACCAAACAATTCCAAATATACCCTAGCTGTAGTCACCAACCAGTTAAAAGTAAACATGTCAAGCATTGCATTATGTGTTTACTTATAGCTGCTATCAATTTCTGTTTCAAACTTTATATACTTCTTGTGAATGTAATTAGCAGGCCTTGGCTAAACTGATTGAAAATTTAAAATTAAAACTTTTTTCAAAAAAAGAAAATCATTACAATAAAGCTGAATTTTTGTCTCTCCTAAACACCAAATAAATATGTGAATATAACCTCATATAATCCATTTTCAAGTATACTTGGAAATCTACCAGTAACATTTATTTCCTTTCTGACACTAAACAAAAGTAAATTTTCCTCTTGAGGTTCAAGACACAAGGTACTCAAGTGTCTTCTCCCTCAATTTTGAGAGAGGGGGCTTTTTTACTCCAAAATTAAGGACCAGATAATTCCTTTGTTCTTCCATCTGAAAGGAGCTGCATGGATGGTTTACGGGGCTTGTTATAACATAGGTCTCTTTATTAAAACGATGTGAGATCTAAATTTATCCATATGTTCGGAATTCAGTGGCAATTTCAGATTAAAGGAATACTTACTACGATAAGTGGCAGTAGCCACTATCAGTAAAAAAGGAAAGGAATGATTTCTAAACCCTACTCTGAATATGCTTGTGACACTTAATTCAGCCATCAGTATTCAAATCCAGCTGACATCTGTGGGAGCTCAGAGTGCTCAGCAACTTGCATAAGTACTCAATAAATTGCTGGATTGATCCCTAATCCTGCAGTTAATGTTATGGGCAAGGGAAAACCTAATTATAGTGATATCTTTTTCAGGTCTATTTACTGCAAGAGTTCAAAGAAAGATCTCATCATTGATCTCAAAACTATAATATAATCAAACTCAAGAAGGAACTAAAAGCTTCTTTGTAGGTCTGATCTTACAAAAACCTTTTATGAATTATGAGTCAAGAAGCAATAATGAACTCATAGGTCTCTAAGGGAAAAAGAAAAGGTGATATTATTGCAAAGTAAACCTTTACAATTCTGATCAGCAAGCTCTGTGCTGCACCATCTCTTGGCCAGTAGTTGAATGCAGGGATAGAGTTCTTTAGCAGTAGCTGAACTCACTCCACCTACAAGAGTGACTCTGTGTCCATGCCGAATTATACCCTGTGTAATGTAGATTCAACCCAGGAGCTTCATAGTGCTTAACCAGGAAGTTTTCCATGCCCTCTTATACAAAGCTTCCACTAGACTGAGTCAGTAGCTGCACAAAGCCTGTCTCAGCTGGAAGTCATTTTTTGCAACATTGTGAAATAAGATTCACTTTATTACTGGATAAAACAGATATATAATCACGCTTTCAGTCACTCCTGTCAAAAGGAGGCCCATTCTTCAGGCTTTTAGCCAGTTCACTGGAAAGTAGCTTCAGCAGAATGTGAAATACCTTGTGTTTCAAAGAACATGAAAATCAGGTAGCTCGTCTGAGCTAATGGAAACTCACATTTATTTTAACAAATGAACCATAAATATAATGGTTAAAACATTATTTTTGCATAGAAATAACAGAAATAATATATGGAAATATTTTTGTTTGATTTCCAATCAGCAACTAATAAACTAGGATCCTGATTCAGTTAGGTCCCTTTAGTAGCTTTTCTGTGCATTTATTTACCCACACAGCAGCCACGCAAAATTCCGTTAATGCAACTACTATCAGTGGCTTCTTGGAAGAATAACACTCTTCTGGGGAAAAAAAATGGAAAGTAGATATTAAAACTGGATTATAATTTTTATGCTCCGAATGCCCAATCCTTCTCCTTACGTAAGGCTGACAGTTGTTTGGATTCTTTTTTTTTTTTGTTTAATTTTTTCACAATTAAAATTTTATTCTTCTATACTATTCCTAATTTTTAATGATAATTCAAAGTTGAATTAGTTATCTCAAAATGGAAATCTCCCTAAAATCTAAAATACCTTTCCTTTTCAGTGCTTGAAGAATTAAGGTGATTTAGAACACAAATTTAAATACGTAAAAAAACGTTCTGAACTTGAGAAACAAAATTTAAAACTTAAAAACAAAACAACCAGCCAACTTCTGCTACTATTTAGTATCAACTCAGAAAATAAATTTCTTAGCTCACTGTATGAAAAACAGTACATCTCTGCTAAACACGTACTACAAGATTTGACAAATTAATCTAGTTACTGAATTTGAAATTTCTCATTTTCGAAGATATCAAACCCTCGTTTGCACTGCACTACATGCATGTTGACTGAGCTAAAATGTGCACCATAGTGATATCTTCAATGGACCCCTGAGCGGCAAGACCAACATATCAATGTCCAGTTTTGTCTACTTACACCTTATCCAATGTAGGTTTGAAAAAAAGCCTGAAAAAAAAAAAAAAGAAAACCCAGGATATTCCCAGGTCACTGGACACCGTTTACATTTTTGGTAAACATGTTTTGTCTACAGCATTAGCAAGGGTTTTTGCAATCAAAATATGAATAAAATATAGAAAATTGTATTCCCAACAAACAGGGATTGCCACCATCTTTACCAACACACACTCTGCAGTCTGGTTCCCAGCTGATTTTTCCTACTTCTAAAGGACCTGAGAGTTATTACAATGAAACAGGCAGCAACATTTCAAAACAAATCCTTTTACAGACTTTAATCTGAGGAAAAGAGATTCGAGGTCTGTCGCCAGTGGTAGGAGATAATCTTGTAGGGTAGCAAGAAAGTGGCTGAGCTGTAGATAAAAGAAGAACTCCTGCCGTGGAACATTATACAAATGTTGAAGATGCTGGAAAGATGCCAGAACTCCCTGGTGATACAGACTGGAGACAAGTTACACAGTCACATTCCCACTGAGTGGTAAAGGAAAACAGTCGCAGAACTCGATCAAGCACAGCTACAGTAAGTGCCAGTAGGGACCTTTCATCTTCAGAGCTGTCAGAATGCAAGACCATTCACAGATAGCATTTACCACAGTGATCTACCCTTTGTTTACTAAGAGTAATGACAACTTAGAAGGGGATGAAATACAGGCAAGAGAAATACCAGGACAATGACTTCTTTTTTTTTCCTCCCAAATCATCCTCTTTAATAAGGTGATGCTTAGCCCATGCAAAATAATCCTGCAGCCAAAGCTGACAAACTGCATTAGCTTTGTAAAGAATTATTCTACCATAATTTATGGAAAAATGAAGACCTGTAAAACACATCACAGAGAGCTATGCTGAATGAAAAAGCCATTTATTATTGGCTAATGTAGGTAAGAGAAAAGAAAAAAGAGCATGTAAAGTAAGTTTTCAGATAAGCAAATGCAAGGGTAATATAAAGTGATCAGAAAATGGAAGTAAAT